GCAACGGGAGAGGCCACAACAGTGAGAGGCCCGCGTACCACCCCCCCCCCCCCCCAAAAAAAAAAGGCATCACAAGGCATGATGCCTTGGCATCATAACACTTAACATGAGTGAAGTGCTCTCCACTCTCCACAGAAAAAGTGCCAAGAAGACAAGTGTTTGCTGGGTTTACCTTCCAGGTGACCCTGATGCTCTGGGATGAGATGGGTTCCAGGCGAACTTCCTGAGGTGGGCCGTCGGGAGCTGTAAAGAGCAAAACCCACAGACCGGTTAGAGACGGGTTCCTGAGCGAATAGGAACCCACACAGTAATACGCAGGCCCAGAAGACAGGCCACAGCAGCTTTAGTGGGAAAACCAATTTTGCAGAGTCACTGCGTACAGCGTTTACCTCGTGCTCACTCGCTCCTAGAAAAAATAGATTTCGTATTCTTCCTCACCTTGTCCTTGACAACTTGATGAATAAACTTCTCAAGTCAATAAACCCGTAAAACAGGAAGTTGTAAAACAACATTTCTTTGATAAAACTCTATAGTGGCTGCTGAAGACCCCTCTCCTTCCTTTGGAAGTTTTGTTTAGTGACGTGCATTGGGGCCCCTCAGGATGCTCAGAACTACTTAGGGAAGAGAAAAAAAGGCTTCTGAGTCTCTTTGATGGCTTTAGTTCTCTACACTTTCCAGTGGGAAACTCTTATTAACCTGGGGCTGCAGCCACAGAGGAGAGACACAGTGGAAGAGTAAGACAAAGCATGCAACTCACTCCAAACTATTTCCAGTGGTTGCAGGGGGGCCACTTACCTCCCAGGGACAGTCAACCACTAGGTACTAGGGATGTGCCCTGTACTACGTACACAGAATGGAACTTAGAGAGAGGAGACATCCTTCTCCAGCAAGGGTCTGTAATCTAATCAGAACACCGGGCCGAGCACACAGAGAGGAAGATGTGGATGCAACACAGCACATACTCAAGTGTCTTCGGAGAAATGGAAGCAGACAGTAACCGAGGGGTCAGCAGGGAGAGACCCCATTGGGTGATCACATATTGTCCGAAGGACAGATTTTCAATCCCTGCTGAGCTACAAAAGGACCATTTCTGTGGATGTGGAGATGCCAGGAGGACTGGAGATGAGAAATCAGGAATGGCAAACGGAAACCAACCTGAAGGGTTTGGAAGTGAGAGGAAGGGGAAAGAGAAGGGTCATTTCAGGGGAGATGAGAGAGCAAGGGAAACATGTTTTCTGTTTTTCAGAGAAAGAAGTTTTGAGTGACACCACAGTGCAGTTGCTAAGCTGGTGGCTGTCTGAGTCTTTCTGCCTGAGTTCAAACTCTTGCTCCCTCGCTTAGTCGCTGGGTGTTTTTTTCCAGGTTACTTCATTTTTCTGTGCCTCAGTTTCCTTCTCTATATAATGGGACAATACAATTTATGTCAGAATTGTTATGAAAACAGTGTGCTCAGAACACATAAGCAGTAATGATGATGATTATTCTCACTGGGTGTTTTTACGGGGGAAGTTGGAGAAACCAGCCAAAAGAAAAGTTACACTCGAAGGGACAATGTCCCAGCAGAGAAGCGAGAGGACAGAAGCAGGAGGGGAGGTGGCGGGGAGAGGGGTGTGTAGGGGCCAGAGCCGCTGGGATGGGAGGAAGAGGAAGCAAGAAGGAGCTTCGGCAGACCTACTGGGGAGGGAAGGAAGGTGAGCGAAGACACAGGTATGCTTGCTGCTTGCAGGGAGCAGGTTCAAATCTGATAGTCTCTCTTTTCACCAAAATCCTAAGGGGCAAAATCAGGGGAGAGTAGAGGGCACCAGGAACGCAGTAGAGGTTTGCATTGCTGCAGTGGCCTGTGCAAAAAAGTGTGCCCTGCACGTGAGGGCACTGACCCACCGGCGGGGGTGATTTCACCGATGAGGATAGTGTGCAATGCAGCCAGCGGTCCGGTCCCATTGCGGGGCTTTACGAGACCACTGATGGCTGCAGGAGAAACGTCGCTGGGTGGATTGGGGATAAACAGTGACCACGGGAGAGAAGCAGCGGATGCCGGAATTGTTACTAAGTAGAGTAATAAAACCTGAGGGCTGCTCCCCCACACGAAGGAAGAAAGGTGGGGGGCAATTCCACAGTCGGGGCTGGTGGGACTGGGGGAGAATGGTAACATGAGGGTGCAAGAGAGGAAGCCGAATTTCCAGAAAAGACGATTCATTACATTTGAGAAGTATGAATTTGAAGGGAAGTGGGGACATTGTACTGAGGTGTCTGCTCAGCTGCTGGAAATGTTTACAAGAACCGGGGAGAGAGTCAGGTCAGCAGGTTGCTCCCTTCTGCCTGCCCTGCATCCGCAGTCTAGCGAAGCCCTCCCTGAAATCGACCCTCAATGTCTCTGTTCTCTGCTTTCCCTGTCTCTCTCCTCACTGGGGACATAGCCTCTGCCCCTGATACCCTGCTGCAGACCAGCATCTATGCCTGGCCCAGGTGTCAATTTTGTTCCTAAACATTAATTCTGGTCTTCACTTTACCTCTTTAAAGGGGACATGGGCCCAGCTCACGCTTCAAACCTCTCGCCCCTCACACTAACTTTGCCCCCCTCTCTGTGTCCTGCCTTCCTCTGCAGGTGTCTGTTCTGCGCACCCCACCTCCACGCACCCTATGTCCCAGCCAGCCCAATATCTCAGAGGAACCTAAACACACCTGCCCCTGGGCAGATTGGAGACTGTCTTTTGCCTCCATCAGTTTCCTGCCCGTGCCCACAAGCTCCCGCCTCAGCCTGGGGACAGTCTTTCCCTCTTTTCCCAACAGACTTGAGGCTTGTGGCCTCAGGAAAACAGTCCACATAGAGTCCTTGCTTTGAAGGGATGCTGAAGCTCAGAGAACAGTTCTCCCTCCCCAGCAGGGCACAGGGTACTTAGTTTTCTAGGGGTCCTGCAGCCTCTTGGATTTATCAATTCTCCAGGTGAAAAGGCGGTGCTAGCACTGCAGCCAATTTCTGGAATAGTAACCCAGGGAGAGGCTGGCATCCATCTAATTGTGATCATTGTTATGCGGCTGCACCACATTTCTGCTCACAGGGTCAAGCCCTTTATGCAGGAACATTTCGATAACAGATCCAAGGAAAGCACGTGGAACAGATTTCTCTCACACACCGAGAGTTCTGTGGTCAGCGAGAAGCATGTGGTTCATTCATTAAAATCCTTGAAAAATTAGGTTGAGGTCTGACGGCTATACTGATGCTTGATTATTTTAATTTAATTATGCTAAATCACATTGAACAAGGAACCTGCTCGCTAGAAATCGAAGGCACTGTTGGGGCCCCATGCATTCCACATCCTTTGGCCTTTGCTGCAGCCTTTTCAGGGGCATGGCAGGCAATAGTCACAGCCTTCATTTTCTCATTGAGACATATTCATAATTAAAAACAAAGGTACTAGGAGAGTGTTTAAAAATTGTCCTTGATTCTATCAGAAAACATAAAGTGTGAATTGGGGACAGTTTGTTTTTTATGAAGGTCCCTGTGAAGTGGTGGAGGGACAGTCCCTGACTCCAGGACAGACATGACTATTTGTAAGAACACAAAACCTTTTTTACTTAGCCTAAAAATACTTCCGTGATTTGTTAGTAAGCCTATAAATACTTCTGCGATTTGTTAGTAATTCATTTATTAGTCTGCTTGGTCTCTGAAGTGAATGCACTCAGACCTCCCCTCTCTTAAAAATAAAGTGATAGAAACTATATTAAAGACAGAGACTAAAGGAATGTAACCCATATACTCACAATGGCACGGTGCCCAATATAATTAGGAAGAGTTTCTGTTTGGGTGCTGAAATTTCTACTCTAAGTTTCTGAAACATTATAAGACAAACTCTTTAAAAATGATATTAAAAATGAGTCTGCTTTGAGAATTTTAGTGCTTTCCTTACAACTCCTGAACAGTAATTTTTTTTCACGGATCCTCATCTCATTGCAGAAGGACAATTTCTGTAAAATTAGAATCCAAGGCAGATTGAATTCCCAATGCTGACATGATTGAAGATCAACCATTAGGCCTCCATTGATTTAACTAAATTTGAAAATTGTGTTGACATTTGACATTTAAGCATTTATTTAATGCTACTGAATTGAAGCTGTACTATAAATAGAAAGTATGTTTTTTTCTTCTTTTTTTAAAGCAGAATATTTAGCTTTTTTCCTGTGGGAAGAGAAGGCTAGAGGTAAGAATTAACGATGAATGTGATTTTCCAAAATACATAGTTTCTGCATTTCTACAGAAGCCAAAACTATTCAGTCTGTCAAAGAATAATAAATGAAGACTATAATTTACAGTTCCTAATTTTGTTTCTAGGCAAGGCAACTTCTACTAATTCTGTTTGGCTGAAAATACAGGGATGACAGACCCTTCCTAATTGTCAAAGCCGAGACGGTCCTCTATCCTTTCCAAGCAGGGAAGGAACGCCGAGACTCAAGCCTCAACACTCCCGTCTGCCCGCAAATTATTCTCTCCTCCATGTATTGGTCTCCTGCCTTCACCCAGAGGCTTGGGGCTCAGTTGCTTATGGGGCTGGGATGATCCACCCCAGTGGGAGGCACTCCCAAACTTCTATCTGATTCCTCTTGGGGAATTTACTGAGGGCCTACCGTGTGCCAGGTCCAAAACTGGGCAGAGACTGGGCAAAAATCGGCAAAAAAAGGGACTGACGGAAAACTTCATGATCTACAACCACATGCTCATCTCTGACAGAAGCAGTGTGGGGAATTCCCTGGCAGTCCAGTGGTTAGGACTCGGTGCTCTCATTTCCACGAGTTCAATCCCTGGATGGGGAACTAAGATCCCACAAGCCAAGCAGCGCGGCCAAAAAAAAAAAAAAAAAGTAGCCTGGGTGAACAGAATGTGCAGCATATTCTTTGCTGGGCACAGGAGACCAAGAGAGAGTTCAGCAAAAATCAAAATAAAACCAAGAACAGTTGACCCCTAAATGGGGAAAGGATGAATTCATTTAATGATTATTTATCAAATAAATAGCTTATTCATTTAAACTGTTATTTATTTAGCATCTGCTATGTGCCAAATGCTGTTCTGGGTGTCTGGGACACAGCAGTGAACAAAACAGACAACTATTCCTGCCTTTGTGGGAGGGACCAAAACTAAAGATCCTAAACAAAATAAATCAGCAAATTATATGGTATGCGGGTCGTATAGAGTCTATTTTCTAAAAAGGAGAGTGTGAAGGGAGGGAGGGGACCAAGCGTGCCTGAGC